AGAGGGGACACGGGGTCAGTGTGGGGACACGGGGACAGCCCAGGGGACACAGGGACGGCCCAGGGGACACAGGGACAGCCCAGGTGACACAGGGACGACCCAGGGGACACATGGACGGCCCAGGGGACACAGGGACAGCCCAGGGGACACAGGGACAGCCCAGGGGACATCCCAGGTGACACAGGGGACATCCCAGGTGACACAGGGACATCCCAGGGGACACGGGGACGGCCACCCCCGCCGCACCCGAGGGTCACCTTACGCATGATCTTGCGGCTGTAGAACAGGACCTTGTCCCGCTTGCGGAAGCGGTAGCGCGGCGGCTCCTGCGCTGGCACCTCTGGGGACAGCCAGGGGACGTCAGGGGATGGCCCTGTCACCTCCCCCGTGTCCCCAGGGTCACCAGGGAGGGGTGGCACTCACTCTTGAGGCGCAGCCACCAGCCCAGCACGGCCACGGCCATGATGAGCACCGTCAGGCCCAGGATGGTCCCCAGCACCTGGGGAGGGAGAGGGATGTCCCCAAAGTGTCCCCAAAGTGTCCCCAAGGGGATGGGGACAAGCACAGAGGGTGTGTGGCCGGGTTGGGGACAGAGATGTGTCCCCAGGGGATAAGGCTGTGTCACCTCAGGGGTCAGTGGGGACGTGGGGACACCGTCCCTGGGGATGCTGAGGACACGGGGACACTGTCCTTGGGGACACTGGGGACATTGGGGACACTGTGTATGGAGACAGAGGGAAACAGGACATGGGGACAGGGGGACACAGGTCACACAGGGACACGGGGTCACAGGGGACAGAGGACACAGGGGACACAGGACACGAGGACATGGGGACACAGGGGACACAGGACATGGGGACAGGGGACACGGGACACAGGGCACAGAGGACACAGGTGACACGGGTGACACAGGTGACACGGGTGACACAGGACACAGGTGACACGGGACACAGGGCACAGAGGACACAGGTGACACGGGTGACACAGGACACAGGGCACAGGTGACACGGGACACAGGGCACAGAGGACACAGGTGACACGGGACACAGGTGACACAGGACACAGAGGACACAGGTGACACGGGTGACACAGGACACAGGGCACAGGTGACACGGGTGACACAGGACACAGGGCACAGGTGACACGGGACACAGGGCACAGAGGACATGGGTGACACAGGTGACACGGGTGACACAGGTGACACCGCCGCTCACCGCGCGCACCGGGAGCTGCTCCCTGCTGAAGACCCCCAGCAGCCCCCTGAGGAGAGTGGCCTGTGGGGACAAAGGGACAGCTGAGCCCCGGTGCCACCCCCGGGCCTGGGGACACCGCGGGGACAGGGATGGGGACACGGGGACAGGGACGGGGACAGGGCCCACCTCGGCCTCCTGCTGCGACTCGCTCTGCCCCATGGCCGGGGCAGGCCGCGCCCAGCCAGAACCCTGCCAGAAACGGGGAAAAACGGGGAAAAAACGGGGAAAAATGGGGAAAAATGGGGGGAAAATGGGTGAGGAAACAGAGAAAATGGGGAAAAATGGGAAAAAACAGGGAAAAAATGGGAGAGGAAACAGGACAGAACGGGGAAAATGGGGAAAAAAGGGGGGAAAATGGGGAAAAACGGGGGGAAAACGGGGAAAAACGGGGGGAAAATGGGGAAAAACGGGGGGAAAATGGGAGGAAATGGGGAAAAATGGGGAAAAATGGGGAAGGGAATAGGGAAAAATGGAGAAAAAATAGGGGAGAACAGGGAAAATGAGGAAAAATGGGGAAAAACAGGGAAAAAATGGGGGGAATAACAGGAAAAACAGGGAGGAAACGTGTGGAAACAGGGAAGAAACAGGGAAAAATGGGGGAAAATGGAGAAAAATGGGAGGAAATGGGGGGAAAATGGGGAAAAATGGGGGGAACGGGGAAAAAACGGGGGAAAATGGGAAGGAATGGGGAAAAATGAAGAAAAACAGGGAAAAATAGGGAGGGAAACAGGGAAAAACGAGGAAAAATGGGGGGAAAATCAGGGAAAACGGGGAAAAAGAGGAGTCGGTGCCAAGGAGGTGACAGGCAGGTGCCACCTCCCAGCGGGTCCTGCTTGTCCCCAAGGTGTCCCCAAAGCACTCGGGGAGCAGAGGGGACCTGGCTGTCCCCTCCCTTGGGGACAGGAGCGGTGCCAAGGCCACCGGGCGCTGTCACCCGGTGCTGCTGGCACGGCCTGGCCCTGCCGTGTCCCCATTGTCACCCTGTCCTTGGCAAGGACAACCCCCCCTGGTGACAATTGTCCCCCTCATTGTCCCCCCCAAATTATCCCCCCCCAACAAGGTTTTATTGTCACCCCGAATTAATTTATTATTAATTTATTGCCTCATCAAATTAATTTAGTTGTGCCCCGCTGAGTTATTTGCCTTCCCAGGGCGGTTATTATCGCCTCATTAATTAATTATCTCTCATCTATTAATTGTCCCCTCACAAATTAAGCCCCCCAGGTCATTATTGCCCTTCCCAGGATCATTATTATCCCCTCATTAATTAATTACCCCCTCACATCTTAATTGCCCCCCCATGAATTGCCCCTCCCAGGCCATTATTATCCCCTCATTAATTAATTACTCCCTCACAAATTAACCACGCCCCCCCGGGCTGTTATTGCTCCTCCCAAACCATTATTATCCCCTCATTAATTAATTAATTTCGCCCTCACACCTTAATTGCCCCTTCACATTGTAATTGCCCCCTCATGAATTGCCCCTCCCAGGCCGTTATTATCCTCTCATTAATTAATTACCCCCTCACATCTTAGCTGCCCCCTCACAAATTACCCCCAGGCCATTATTGCCCCTTCTGAGATTGCTATTACCCCCTCATTAATTAATTATCTTCTCGCATTTCATTATCCCCTCACATCTTAATTACCCCCTCAGGGCCGTAATTGCCTCCTCAGGGCCGTAATTACCCCCTCAAGGCCTTTATTGCCCCCTCAGGCCGTTATTGCCCCCCTCAAAGCTGTTATTGCCCCCCTCAGGGCCGTAATTGCCCCTTCAAGGCCTTAATTGCCCCCTCAGGGCCATAATTACCCCCTCAGGGCCTTATTGCCCCCCTCAAGGCCTTTATTGCCCCCTCAAGGCTGTTATTGCCCCCTCAGGGCCGATACTTCCCCCTCAGAGCCTTTATTTCCCCCTCAGGGCCTTTATTTCCCCCTCAGGCCGTTACTTCCCCCCCCCAGTCCGTTATTACCCCCTCAGGACCGATATTACCCCCTCAGGACCGATATTTCCCCCTCAGGGCCGT